AAGATGTATGGACATGATTATATATAGTATGAATGTTACTCAAAATCTAGTTTATAACAAAATCTTGATGCGAAAATGGTATTAATAAACTTTCTCACGTGACTACTCACCTGAGAAGACTTCATTACATTTAGTTACCATTTCATGTATGCAGAGTGCACAGTAAGAAGGTACACCAAATTACTTAAAGACAGTGATGCCTATGTAATTTCCATGTTAAAGGTTTGCAAGGCCTGACTTATGCCTAGTAAATAAAAATAAAATCCCAGTTCAGTGTAAGTTGCATCATAACATGGCCCAGAAACTGTAATACTGAAGTAGGAGGTTAATACAACAACAGGTTAGTTGGGAACACAGGTTATGAAAGAGTGGTCAGTTCACTTCATCATTATGAATATGCCAAAATAGGGTTAAGTTTACGGTAAAATTGTAGAAGTTCACTATTAAAATCAATAAAAAATTTTGCGAATTTTACTGTTCGTCCTGAAAAAATAAATCATGCGTTACAGAACCCGCAGCAGTTATATAATTCACAATGACAAATTGTAATAGGATGCATTACTAACCTTCAAATCAGCAATCGTAATGTCTCCGTTAAAACGTCTTTGAACACGCGTATCTTCCTGGCCTGCATTCGTGATGGTAAAATTAACAAAAGTTTGTAAAAAATCTGTCATAATTTATACAGAAACACAAAAATATTCGTAATTCCAGTAAATATATATCACTGGTTTTTATCGACTCGCATCTACCACAAACAACCAATGCCAACACTTGTCGATGATGCTTCCTTTCATTAATTTTCGGTAAAATACACGTGGCCAGCTATACTGGAATTCATCAAATTTCTCTGGTTGTTGCATTGGTAGAGTAGGTTAGACCTGGTAAATTTTTCAAAACCGTGATTATTTTAATTTCCATACTTCATTGTTTGGTAGAAATTATTTTAACGTTTAGTAGGATACGTGGTTTTCACGGCGGCGAGTATGAAGATGGCTGTCCTCTGGGCTGTAGAACTGTGTAATCTGGCAGTTGTTTACCAACGTTTCAGAGGTAATTGCTGCCACCATCATCAGGGTGATGACCGTTTTGATGATGGAGGAAGCATTTACAATCCAGATGACAGCCATCTTCATTTTATAATTTCATTATTTCTTAAATAAATTGTTTCTAAGTGAAGAGCACTGTCACCACTACAAGCTATTTGTTGACATCACTTTTCATTAATAACTGAAGCGCAATATGATGTCACTCCAGCACTTTCGTTTGAGAGCCTTGTCTTCCATGTATTTTTTCCCCTTATGCTGATTTGTTAAAATGAACACTCTTACATAGGAACTTAACTCCCATACTGCATTTTCTAAACAATAGAAACCATTGTCACTTGGTAATTTTACTTTAGAATTTAAGTTGTTTTAATATTTTACAGCCAACAGGCCCAAATTTGGAAATATATTTGTCTGTTACACTGTGTTTGTAAGGTTACTATATTTGTGAAGTGTAACCAAAATTTCAGTTGACTATACAAGTAGACACTGAATCTTATGACCTTTTAGTCTGTTATTGTTATAGACTGCTATTCACTGCTTCTTCATAATTTCTGCCCTCATTTAAATCTGAAGATACATCCCATTGCTCTGCGAGACCTAAACAAGGCACAACCCTTAGAGACACCTATCCATGGGACAATATCCCAAGACAATATTAATCACTACTTTTCCTGGACCTGTTGCACTACTGGCATCTGAACACAATGTTGATCTGTGTGGCACACAGCGAGTCTTCTTGGTCAGCTGTAATAGGCTAGGATATGACCTCAGATTAAATATTTGTTTTCAGCTGCTACTGTTTTGGAACAGGTTGCTGTATAGAGTATTAAACAAACGAGGGGTGAAGTAACAGGAGGCAGGGTAAAACTGCAAAATAAGGAGTTCCATAAATACTATTATTTACCAAATATTATTAGGATGATCAAATGAAGGATGACGAAAATGTATAGTATTTTAATTTGAAAGCCTGGTCACTTGAAATACCTATCCACAGATGGGTAGATAATATTAAACTGGCTGTTGAGGAAAACAGGGTGGGAGTAGGCTGGATTTTTCTGATTCAGGGGTGTAGTGTCAGAATCTTGTGGATATGGTATATAGATGATCCATAGTAATGAACCTTCTGGTTCCAAAAGCATTGGTAGTTCACCGATTAGGTCATCTGGGGTCATGGCCCACTAATAATATTAAATGTTATTGTATTTTAGGGCCACTCTTTGCAGGTATTCAGCTAAGGCCAGTTGTTACAACTCTTTTTTATTAGATTTTTTAAAGTATACTGTACACCTTATGATACAAATTACTATTTACATACTTATACAACTAGAAATGAGCTAATTATTCTGGAAAATAAATATAACAGCAACATACTGCAATAAGTTAAATTCAGAAGATTGATAGATACCTTCAGCTAGCATATATATTTGAATAATATATGCTAATATAGTTGGAGTTTAATGCTGCAAAGGGCATGGAACCTCAGAATGATTCCTTCAATTTTCTAATAACTTGTACAATGATTACAACAATTTTATAATATAAATGTAATTACCTTATTTTCATCAGGCAATAACAAAAGATATTTACATACTTACCAACATAACAACTGTACATCAGATCAGAAAATGAGATACTTGCTTCATTAATATTGATGACTGTTGTATTTGGTTAAAACAAACCTACAAATCTAAACTTTTATTAGATTATATGACTGTGGGAGGAATTAATAAAGTTGTCACCCCACCCCATGAACATATCCCTAAGTACAAATATCTGGAACAGATCAAGCAAGCAAATGTCCACTGAAAAATGACAATTGAATAATTTCTGTCATTACATAATAAGTTTTCACAGAAATATCTTTATGAAAAGTTACAAACCACAAGATCAAATAGCAAAGCTATAACCATTTTGGTGAATGGATAATTAATCCAGTCAACGATTCCTTATGTTGGCTACAGTAGTGATGTTTCAATAATGCCATTAAGTTAGAAGCAGCATTACAGAATTGGCTTTATAATCTCATACAGTAGACATACAAGCAGAAAATGTACACACATTTATCTAAATAAGATGCTAGTTCGTTCAATCTATAAACATATTAAGTCTATTTATTATTTATATTCAATTCTTGAGATCTTAAAAATGAGTAGATGATATATACAAACATTTGTGAAATGCATACATGTAAAGATATGAAAATGGTAACATTAACTTCAACCATTATACACATACACTCACACTTGCATTATGAATTGGATTTTGCCTTACAGACCCATAATAAGTACTGTGAACAGAAATGCTGTTGAGACCAATAATGTAAAGAATTTTTTGATAATGTTGACAGTCCAGTTTCTTTTAGGGTATAGATTTCCAAGTTTAAGCCTGAAACCATTCAACCACTTTCAGTCAACCTACATGATTTAAAACATCTATTAAAGTGTGCATATCGAGTTTTGATAATACATATGCCAAATGTTCACTCAGATTCCTTGGTGCACATCACTGTGCCTTGGGATCCTGTAACGTTACCCATATGTTTCTTTCTGAGGAACTTGACAGATTACTAATATTCACTGAGCTGGTTGGGGACTCTTCAGAAGTGCTGTTATGAGGGATGACCACAAATTAACAATAAGACCTGTAGTTCAGATTGATTTATTTAGAGCCTGATTTTTTATTTTCACAGCATTCTTGAACCACTGTGTCCTAATTTCCATGCAGAAGTATGTACTTATGAAACACTTAACATAATGTTATGATCCAGAAATCCATCAAGACGAAATTACTGACTTGGTATTCATATTTTAAGAATAAGAAAGTGCAACTATTTGTGCCTAACTTGACTGTTTACTTTTAAGATATTAAAATAAGTCTATAGTACAACAGGTGAGGAAACTGAAGATGCATCTGATTCTCTCCTGGAGACGTTTGTCCTGCGCAGTCCACGATGGCTTGGGTGAAGGTTGAGGGGAGGCAAGTTGGGGTGCTCAATGCGAGTTGGAGAAGAGACTCGTGGGCGAGGCGAGGCATGAGGGCTACTGCACGGAGTTCTCCTCATACTGTTAGTGCTGCCAATTGTGGCTGTGTTGCTGCTTGTTTCAATTAGTTCACTTAACTGATAACTCTCCACAGCTGGTGTTGGATCATCAGAGTCAACGAAGCCAGAGTTGTCAAAACTCACTGGTAGAGCATCAGGCAGCTGATGTGTGATCTGCGTGACATGATATGGTGATACCTGTGGTGGTGGGTGCAGGGGAGATGTGGGGACAGGAGGCAGGCTACGGGCTTGGTGCTGCAAGGTTGAGCCATACTGAGGGACATTGTGATGGTAATGGTGTGGCTGATGATATATTGGTGGTTCTGCTGCAAAGTGATGAGTTGTCCCACGAGGTGTGAGTGCTGCCCACAGCACACGGCTGTCTGGTGTGATGGCCTCACCAGATTGTGGACATGGATACAGCACTGCCTCACAACCCTTCACTCCATTAGCCTTGCTCAGAGTGGATCCATCCAACTGTAGTGACCCCTTTCCACTGCGCTCACTTTAATACAATATGTGCAAATTGACATTAGTCACTTTTAGCAATGAAAGGATGAAATGGGCAGTATATGTAGCATGTAAAAAAATACATACAAAATGTCAGTTGGAAAACCCCAAAGAAGAAGAATATTTGGGAGATGCAGACACAGAAGGAGGGTAAAATAACAGACTTGCTAGCCCAGGACTGAGTCCATCGGAGAGATTGTGTGAACATGGTAATAAACTTTCAATTAAAAGAAAAAAAGAACAAAGAAAATTTCTTGGTCAGACAAATAACTGTCTAATGATCAAGGTATCACACCCGATGAACATTAAAAAGTATGAGCCAATATAACTTCATACAGAATATTAGTAAACTATTTGTATCTGGTACAGCATACCTCTGAAGACTACAATTTATGTTGTCTTTCTTAGACTTATTCACTCTCTACTCTGATCAGGAAGACTGAATGCTGCATAGTAGAATCTGTACCATGTATATTGTGTTCATAGACAAATCCAAAAACTTGATAAAATTAAACCATAAGAAATATATATGTTTGAAGCACTTTCTTTATAAATAAAACTGATTGAAGGAGGGAAATTCAATACATTTGTTTTTAATTAATATGTAATTTCCTCCATTTCCTGCTTGTTTAAACTCTCTTTGGCATGAATATGATTTTCTGGTAGATATGAAAGTACTGTGTAAAAAATAAATCCTTCCCATGTCGCTAATTATGGTTCTGGATTGTATTAGTAACTTAACACTGACCTCCCTAAGAAATAATGAAAAGACTAAGATACATACACTTTGCACTTGAGAAGGAAAAGTGCAAGAAGGGCACCAAGTAGCAGCACTCCAACAGAGGAAGAAATCAACACCAGTAACCAGGTATCATCCATTGCTGGGCCTGCACGTAAGACATCAAGATGACTCAGCATTACAGAGAAGATAACTATGGTTCTGTAATAGCAGTGCTGCATAGATGCACATGAACAAACACAAAATTGAGGTTGTCTTCTTACTCAAAGTGTGCGCTTGCGTTGAATCGTTGTTGATGATTTTAATCAAAGAAACATATTTGAGGAAACTAATGAAATATAATCAAAGAAATGATTGATAATTATGAGCTGAATTAAAAATTAAACATAAGTCCAAAAATTTTATCATGCAAGTAAATTTATGTAAATGAAATGTGAGGTCAAAACTTGTTAAATAATCCTGCAATAAATTCTGCCTCTTTTTCTAACATGATAAAAATTAATTCAAATTTCAAATTCACTAATGTTTTTAATGATATAAATTAAATTAGATACTTTATGCAGATGCCACTTGTTTGTAACAAGATACATAGCTTAATTTTAAGCTTTCAGGATGTAACCAATTGTAACAAACATTTTAATTTATTATATCCTTATGCTGTCTGATGATTTAGTTCAAATGCTTATACACAGTTTTCTGAAAACAGCAAGGACATGTTATAAATGTTATTACATTATACTGCGTTAAGAGTCATGATGTATTAAAATTCTTACTGCACTCTATCTGTGACATTTGTATTGTTAATACAGTATTTCCATTTCCTTCAGTGTCATTATTTTTCTAAAAATATTGTGTTTATGTTTATTTTCGTACTCCCTGATATCAGTATTTTATTTTAAAAAGTATGTGATATTTAACCATTTGGAGGGCACATTATATCTGTAAAAATCTTATGGGAATTTCAAAGTTCCCATGTACTGTAACAAGGAAAACACTCCACTTGGGTAATTAAGACGACAAATATCCCTGATGGTGGAGGCAGCAAGGACCTTCTACCAGACTACACAGCGAATTTGAAGACGACAAATAAACAATAAGAGCTGAAAATGCTGCTATATTCTTCTCTGTGGCAATATTTAAAATTAAAGGATGAAATGAAGTTGTCTTTTTGCACCTTGTCTTGGAAGCTCAACATATTCCACACCCGGTCCGGCTGTCCAGTCACAGAGAACACTGCAGGTGGAGATGTTATCAATGGCAGGAGCTCGCTGCAGGAAGGCTGGCAGAGGAGGTGGTGGAATGCCTAGGATTGTGTCTGGGGGTGGCCCCATGTCTGAGCAATCCACACATGATGAGTTCAAGTACATCAACAGAGACACTCCACTTGCCATGTTAATTAGCTGCAGAGGAATAAAGAACATAAAATTACAATACAGTTATTTTTCTGAATGGTGACAATATATCCTGGATTTTCTGGTACAATCTCATTTCTGGTGTCCAAAATAAAGAAATTTTCCTGAATGGTTAATTGTGCCACATTTCGTTTTCTAACGACACAATAAAACACCATAAAAATTTTAAAATGTGTCGCTCTCTTAGAGAAAATCTTGTTTACTATGCAATAAAATTAGGAATATGAACAGTGAAATCTTCCCATTTATGCTGAATTCTTCTGAGTAGCCCTTTCATTCAGGTTTTCAAACTAAAGCTGTGCATGAATTTCTCTCTATTCAAATGCTATATGGCCCGCCCATTCGAACTAAAAAATTGTTTTATACTTGTTCTTCAGGTTAACGCAACCTACTGAATCTGCAACAGAAGAGCAAGAGAGTGGAAGGAAAATCCGGCCAGGGACGCATGGAAACCCCAAGTGTACAGTACAGAATGAGAGCATCATAAGATAAGGGTTAAGGGTTCATTAACAATTTTAGTGCAGCTTACACGATTAGATCGTAAACGCGATCCGGTAAATCATACTCCATTGATGTCAAGTTACATCAGAAAGAGAGGAAGCTAAGCATTACATTTTAATACGTAAGGCGGGAGTGTGCGCAGGGGCATTGCAAGTATTGCTGAGACTGCTGGGCCCCTCTTGATAAGCTTTCTTGATTACTTGACCTGAGCTACATGACACATAACGAGAACGACTTATGGTCCAACGACTTCTTATTTAGGGAACGGCAGTTGTAAATCAATTCCCTAAGTCTAACGAAGTTAACTGCTACATAGGCTTGCAAGAAGCCGTCAGAACCCGCTGCGATATCTGTTTTTAGACTGAACTCAGTGGACCGACACCATCTACTTCTCCCATAGACTACTATAAGCTGGCGATACGTCATTTTGTTGTTTTGAGTTCGGGGACTCTCCACAGTACTTTATTATACATACTTTCGATTTTTATCCTCCTGCCAGAGCAAAGCGAGTAAAGTTGCTGTTAACACACATGCATGCATCCATTCCACATGTTAAAATATCCAACATTTTTGCGTTTTTTCAACCTCTCCTTCATTTCGGGACAGTGTTTCAAACGGGGATACTGCCACTTCCCAAGAACTTTAGTCACTAGTTTCTGAACACTTCTATAACTGTTCTAAGTTCTTTCTCACGATGGCTGTTTTATTTCAGATCCTAAGGAAATAGCTTATGAGACTGAGAGCTTGAGAACAGAGTGTTGAAGAGAATATTCGGACTCAAGTAACAGGAGGCTGGAGAAAATTTGAGAATAAATTTCAAAATTTGTATTTTTCGCCAAGTATTGGGTCTATTCATTAGGGTGATGAAATCAAGGAGGATGAAATAAATACGACAATAAATATATTTGTTGTTTATTTAACAAGCATTAGTTTATGAAGGAAGACTCTACCCTATGGAGTTAATTATTTATATGACAGTGTCTGTAGATCAGGTTATACAGCGCCGAATGATGGAATAATTAAGGAATGATAAACTGGAAAGGGCATGGAAGGAAACGGTAATAGTCTAATTTAGAATACCACAACGGAATTTTTTTGGAAGGGCCGATATTTGAACCCGGGACATTGCGAATACGAATTAGAAAACCATTTAGTATATCTAGCAGTTAATGGTATAATACTATTAAAATTGAGCTTAAGGAAATTAAGTGGTATGGATTCAACGGGTTCAGGAAGGGATTCAGTGGCGGGCTTAACTTACGAAAGCGTCAATTAACTTTCGGAATCCGCAAAAGGCAAAGAGTCAAAAAGGGTTCGGTATTACAGAATTAATTAAAGTGGTGAAGGTCTGATAGTCTGACTGAAGCAGAAAGTACCTCTGAAACGTCGGTAATCTTCTACCAGACTATGGCGCTACAGCCCAGAAGACAGCCATCTTCATACTCGCTGCCTTGAAAACCACAAATTCAACTTTACCTTCAATACTGAAATGGATATAATAGTCCTAATTTGTGAATATGACGCTCCATGAACTCTTTGCCTGTCACAGGTCTGTTACTGGACCTTACACAAAATAACGAAGGCGTTTCCGCCTTTCAACCACCTGACACGGCTGGTAGCCCGAGAAGAATTCACTGTACTTAGTATCAATGAAAGCCTCAGATCATATATTTATTATTATTCTCCGGAATCATAACTGCTACAAATTTGAAAACCTACAACCTACAGAGGCACAAATAAAAATTAAACAGAGGTGTGAGAAGGCGTCTACTTAACGAGGTAAGAATTATACTTGGTTTCTAAATGCATAAGTTGCAAGCTCATGCAATTACCTTGCTGTTGTGGCTGCAGCTTTATTAGAATGGCAAGCAATACTTCTCAGGTGGTACAAGATGTCGGCTGGATGTGCATGCACTAGAACTAGGCGAGGCAGCGGATGGGGTGGGGTACTTCGTGGCGCCATCAGAAGAAGTACTAACGGGGAGCGACGCAAGCGTCGGTCTATTGATTTACCGCCACACGGCGCTATTGATTTCAAGTACACGCAGATATGAAAGTGTTACCCCTTCCGTCACATTGCGATAAATAAACTGTGGAACACGGTCGGTGAGTTTCTTAAAAGGAACTGCGTTACCTCTTTGAAACCATTTTATCGATTGATCAATAGGTTTGAATCCAGATACGAGTCCGGTAAGCGTCTGTTTATTCTCATATTTTATTGAGGCTGGAAGGTTTTGCGAAAATGTTAATTTAAAGAGTTCTTTCATTTTCCACCGATTCCAAAAATGGATGACACATCAACGAGATATTTTGCATTTAATGTTTAAATAATGCCTATGCCTTTACGAAGGGAGAATCAAAAGAAATCCAATCGAAGGCGATTAGTAAGTTCAAATTTAAATATAAATCCGGCGGCACTTTACACACGAGTCGAAGTGAAGTTCAAGTTATGCAATTACTATAATTGATTCTGTGTAAAAAAATATTAAACCGTCACTTGCGAGTACAAAACAGTTGTGTTAAGCGCTGAAACATGGCGTTCGAAAATCTGACCGAGGGTTTTACTGGTTTCTCCCAGAAAAATTTAATGAAATTTCCGTAACACAGGACATATCCTCTTCCATCAGTATATTTTCCAAATCACCAAAAAATATGTGAGATTTCAGGTTCTGATGACGGCAAGTATTAAGGTGGCTGTGGTCTGGGCGATAAGCATGGAAGCAGCCAGCACCTCCTAAACGTTGGTAAACATTTACCAGAATGCACGGCGCAGTAACCCAGAAGACAGCATCTTTATCATGGAACAGATTTTCACTCATCACTACATAATCCCGTTACAGCGTCGTTAAACAGTTAAAATGCAAGTACGTTTAGACCCTCATTAGCGTAATGATACCACTGAAGATATGGGCGTCTTTTCTGTCTTAGCTCAGTATCAGAGGCGTTAAAAATGAAAGGTAAGATGAAGTTCTACCTGTGCATAAGGACATAACGAAGGCGCACAGGCGACGACTGGGGAAAGCTACACACATTCTTTGTCCTTACTGGACTGACTACAGATTTACGCGGCAGCCATGACGTTGGTATTAGGCTGAAATAACAACTTTAGATTACACTGGTAACATATATTTAAATAAATATCAATGATTTGGAAGAGTGGGAAAAGATACTAATGGAAAGTGCCTGACTATATGAAGGTACAATTTCGGTATTTTACGGATAGACTAAGAAACTACATAAAACCTGCCAGAAATGCCTGTTTCCCAGTTGCGATTCAAACCTGGAACCTCAAGATTACGAAACAGGATGTGCGACTGTTGCATAGCGTAACACAAACATTACACGACATAACAAACATTGCATAACATAACCTGTACTGACAAATTTTTGATACTCTAATTTTTCCAAATCTAAAACTTCTTGACGATGGTGAAGAGTCAATTGAATAAAAATTTTCTTGGATATTATCCATCGTCTAGTAAATATAAAACGTAAAACGACGTTTCGGAGATGGGACTCTATCTCCGTCTTCAGGTTCCTACACAGTTGGGCCCACTAGATAGAGCTAATCCCTATCTCCGGACGGAGTCCCATCTCCGAAACGTCGTTTTACGTTTTATATTTACTAGACGATGGATAATATCCAAGAAAATTTTTATTCAATTGTCTAATTTTGCCGTAAATCATCATAAAATCACTAGAACCGATATGACTGTTAGAGTAAACAAATATCTCAATTACTGTAAAATCTGCTTAATTTTTCTCCCTTCCACACCATCAATTTTTTTCTTCCGAACTCGGAAATAAATTTGTGTATGAGTTGCTCCTGATTATTACCTATAAAAATATGGAATGTTTTCTGGCGGTGACATAACCGTCTATGACAAGTTTATGTGTGCGTGAGTAGATATTTTACGTGACAATGATCAGTGGCTTCCTCCAGCGTAAGGCGCTTGAGTCTTGAGCGAAATCCGAGCTAAATATCTTTCTAAACATAAATCATAGCTTCAGCTGTGGACACTTCCCCGGCTCCAGTGCCCTAGAGAAGCAACGCGGCACCATGACCTGCGTTAAACTAAGTCCACCCTATCGATTTTCAACACCGGGCTTTACTCACAAAGTTTCTATTATTGAAGTACCGAGGCACAGAGAAGGGTAGTTCGTCGCTGTGGTAATTTTACTGATTTTTAGATTAAATACGCCGAAATACAATTCATCGTGTACTATCCGAGTATAGAGAGGGTTTAATTTTAATAAACTTTTTGCAAACAAGTAAAATCTAATTTATTTGTGGAAATCCGTGTCGAATCCGAGCCCCTATTTATAGCTGTACTCATAGTTTACCAAAACGTCTGGCGCAGTTTGCTAAATGGAAAACACTTTTTGTACCAAACAAAGCGCAATGAAATCAGCGAATTACCTTCTGACCACCCAAGCATTTGAACTGGGTACGTAATCTGTGTTATCGATTTGTTCAAATACAAACA